CAGCCCTATCTGTTTTCTTCTCTTGAGAAGCTCGTACCCCTTCTACATGGCGGCTTAGCCGTAAATGGGCTCGAGCACGGATACAACACTGCCCAGATGCCAGAGAGCAGTGATGTAGACATGGACGCCGAAATAGAGCAAGGAGATCACCAGCCCTGCGAAAATAGCCAGTCCCAGCATGTTCATATCAATGGCGATGAGAAGCATTACCAGGAAGAGGAAGAAGACGGCGTTATAGGCGAACATCAAGAGAGCTATCCAGAGAAAGGTGATGAAGAGGCGCTTGAAGACCTTGGGAATGGCGTAGATGGTGGAGGAGAAGGAGACGGGGCTGGCCGTGTAGAGGGAAGCGACGGTGAAGACGGCGGCGGCGGTCGAGAGGAGAGAGAAGGCGAAGAGGAAGATCAGGTAGCAGAACTGGATGACCAGGAGGACGGTCCAGTCGTGCCGAGCCCGAGCCGAGTTGTACGAGTCGACCGAGTCGAGCTTCACGATGATCGGGTGGGTGAAGAGCGAGTGAGCTAGGATGGCCAAGGAGAGGGGGAAAATTAGGGTTAGGGTTATGAGATAGAACGATCTGGGTGATCGTTTCGTGATCGAGATCGATTCCACGAGCACCTGAGGGATCGTCAAGAACTGGAGCTCCTCTGGCTCGAGATCCATGGCGGACGGCTAAGGAATTTCTGTTCTTTCTCCCGACAAAATCCTCTCTGGGATCTCTTCGATTTGAACGGGAAATCGAATTCACCGACAAATCCGATGAGAGAGAAAGGTAAACGCCGATGGGTCAATCCCGAAATGTTAGAAAGCTGGCAACTTTGTGCCGTTTTGTGGTCCTGTTTGGACGCAGAGAAAACGCTAGAAGACAGCATTTTCCTGGATCCTTCTGACTAGACTTTTTCAAACACGTTTAAAACTTCCCCAAATATGAAGAGTAACAGTCTTATACACAACCTCCTGTGTGTATATATATAATATATGAGAAACAACCTTTGCAACATTTTATATATGAAAGTAATCGTGTTTATCTCTCAAGAACTCACAACTCGATACACATGGTTGCGGACACAGTCACAGACATGAGCTAAACTGAGAAACAGAACTGAAACAATCATTAGAACGATTTGATCTGCTAAAGGCGTAAACTTACTTGTAGAGTTCAACTCCCTTGGGGCCGAATGAATTGGAGATGTTTCACCTTAACCGGGTGGCCATTTCATCTGGCGACCGCCGAGGACATGCAGATGAAGATGGAAAACAGATTGACCTGTAAGCCGAAAAAGATGAACGAGAAGGAAACGGGAAACTCGGAGAAAATGTCTTGAGGGATGGAGTGTACTTACAGGCTTCAGTACCATTGTTGATGACAACACGAAAGCCATCGAGGATACCTTCTTTCTCGGCTACAATCTTGGCTGCGTGAAGAAGCTGGCCTAGAATCTCTGCGTGTCTTGGTTCAGCCTGTTCAGAAAACATCATCATCATTGTGTTCAAGGCAACCGAGACATTCGCCAAACTCGATACGCTTATTAACATGTAATGTTAAGACAATATATCGTACGTAGATGAACAAGATGATAATATCAGCATTTGAGATTTGGTTATTTAGTTCTTGATGGCTGCGCAATGAGGTGGCAACCAATATTGCTGCCAATTTTGCAAGTCATGTTCTAAACAGAAGTAAAAATGTATGCTGTAACATCCATCAGTCTTCAGATTCTATGGAAACAGTTTATGCAACGACATGAAAAAACTGCTAACTATTGGTTCAAAGTTTTCGATAACGAGACAACTAAACATGATGCCCTGGTTCCGTGCAATAACGACATGGATCTTCCACTCTGTCAAACATGAACTATAAAGTGGAGCAGAATACAAAAATGAGGGCGTTAACTTTGAAACTAACGCACCTTCCCAAGTGTTGTCAATCCGTCTCGGACCTTCGGGATGACCAAAACATGAACAGGAGCTTGTGGGTTAATGTCTCTGAATGCCAAAACGTTTTCATCTTCGTAGACAATGGAAGAAGGAATCTCCTTTGCTATGATCTTGTCAAATCTGAAAATGGGAAGAGAATCATGAACCAAATCATTTACATTTGATAAAAGCAATGCCAAAATCCTTCACGAACACAGGCACTTAGCTTTGAGATCACAGCACAAATTCCATTTTTGATGACAAAAATGCAAGACAGTTTCTTCAACAATATAGGCTGAAATGCTACAATCTATTACTAATGCCTAGATTGAGAGAGATATTCTGCGTCAGGAGAAACAGTACATGGTCGGAGCTCCGGTATCTGCAAAAGCCGCGGCTTCCTTCGCCGCCGCCTCTTCGTTGTGTGTGACACGAGCAGAACACATGGATCTTCCAAAACAATCAAAACCAAATCAGCTAAATGAAGCAAATCCACGCCATCGTCTTCTTCTCCATCCGATGACCAAACAGTTGTAATTCTCGATATAAACAGAAAATCGAAAACACTCACCTCCCGGAACGAATACGAGGAATAAACCCAACGAATTTTCCGGCGGAGAAGATTCTCGACGATGCTCGCACAAGCGGAGCAGCTCTACCCACCGTCGCGATATTCCTGATCCCCGAAAACGAATAAAATACTCCGTCATCACCATCACCGGCTACTTAAGAGCAATGATTGTATGATATCGAGAGAGAGAGAGTACCGAAGCAGCATGGAGGAAGTAGTGGCAGCCATTGGAGGAGCTTACCCCGATGAGTGATTGTTCAATCGCCTTTTGACATTTTTGAGAACGAAACGCATAACGACGTCGTCTTAGCTAAACGAGTTGTGTGTTCGGTTTATATCATATGTAAACCGAATCAAACCGATCCTTAGTAAAACCAAATCGAACCGGAATTGACCGGTTACCAATTCTCGACCCCAAAAACAAAGTGCAGAGAGAGAGGTAAGCTTTGTTTCTCCAGCGTCTTTGTCGTGATCGCGGAGCTGCCATCGGAGAAGTTGAACGAGTTCAGTACCGTTTCCTGGTTAGTTTCGCGTTTGGTCTTTGTAGAGACGAACGAGTCGGCGAGGGTATGACTCGGACGAGTCCACGAACGAGTGGGCATTCATTACATTTTGTTACACCATGCAACGCATAAACCCAGAAGCCAACTGCAAAACCACGAAGCATCTCCAAACCAAACTGAAGGCCAAAGCTTTTTTATTCTCTCTACCAATAAACAGAACTCTAAAACTGAAATCACTCAAACAGAGACATCAAGAAGGCCAAAGCTTCACTGTTCTTGATCATCAACGACAGGACCGAACTTTTTGTTTTGCTTTTTGTCTGGTTCCGAGTTCTTTCGGAGATTCCAGAATGATCTGGAAAGTTCAGTGCTTGGCATCTTCTTCTTCACAGAAGCTGGAGTACTTCTCCGAGCCCATCAGGTTGTTCAACTCGCCCGAGTCACTCAGCTCCACCTTTATGATCCATCCATCCTCATACGGGCTCGAGTTCACCTGTGCATCCAACAAGGACAAGATAAACAGATGAAAAATCGCCGATGACTGCCACCCACAAACCAAGAAACTTGAATGATATAAACGATTCACATCGATTGAAACCGGCATGATGATGAAGAAGAAGAACTAATTCATGTAACTAAGCAAAACAAAATCCAAAAAGGGATTCGATCACGTGAAATTTTAAAGCTCATGCTGCATTTTCGAGGGCGTAAACCTGAGTGAACCCGATGATATGATACTACAGACACGATTATTTCGAGGAACTCACCAAAGCAGGAGTGTCGCTTAGCTTGTCATTGACTTCGACAACCTTACCCGAGATTGGAGAGTTGATATCGCTCGTAGCTTTGACGCTTTCCACCGCTCCAAAGCTCTCGCCTTGCGATAATGAACGTCCCACATCGGGCAACTCCACATAGACAACATCACCCAAATGGTCTTGCGCATGATCTGTTATCCCTACTGTTGCTTTGTTTCCATCGACCTTCACCCACTCGTGGGAGTCAGCATATTTCAGATCCTTCAGAATCACTGAAGGAACGGGCGGAATACGAAAAATGGTCAGTAATGTAAATATCATAACTTTAAAAACCAGAATCAAGTTAAAGGGTCGTCCATTCTTGAAGCTATTGTTCGTAGACAGAACATTAGTCCCACAACACAATGAGACAACGTCATATGAAGAAAACGAACGCGAGAAGATCTGTAGACAAAAGCCTGAAAACGAATTCGGAATCTTTCCCATCCATGTGATGAATGATGAAACCATATGCAAGCACTAATAACTCTTCTCGTAACAGCGAAAGGCGGAGGAGGATCTTTTTCTTCTGGAAATGAAAACGAGAAACAGAGGAAAACACGCTAAACCCTGAAACTTTTAGCAATGAAACAAACGATCCAGCATCAGACAGGACGAAAGTTCCAACATTTACACGGCGGTTTAATCTCAGAGTTCGCAGTTTCTACTCATGATATGGTCATTCGATCCTTATTTCATCAGCAAGTAAACGTTTTTTTCACTAACAACACCTCGTGAGAGATCAAGAAAAACTCCGAGATTCGATCCAGAATCAGAAAACCATATGCGACGGGAAAAGCCATAATAAACGTGCTTGCACGAACGATATTCAGAGTAATAAGAATCATCAAAATCCCCTTTTGTGTTTATAATCAGATCAGATAGATAAAAACAACACAGACCCATTATCCAGAAACAAAAACCGCATATCTAAGCGCCGTAGAATCCCTCGGGAAGTTTCGCCAGACGCACTAAACGAAAAGGATAAACAAAACATAAAGAGGACGTGAAGATCGAAATTTACCGGAAGAAAACCCTCGTTGGAAGACGGAGACCCTGAGGTGAGAAGCAACCCTAGAAGCCCACAACAATCTGGAAGCCATTTTTGTGGATCTCGCGAGAGAGAGAGAGGGGGACGATATGCACAACAGTGTATTCGTGAGTGGGTGCACTCACCGAATGAATAATCATTTATATACTTCCACTTGGTGGGTTGGTTGCCTCGCCTCGTTGCTTACACACAAATAAAGAGAAAATAATAAAAAAAATATATATTTGATAAGGGTAAAAATGTAAAGGTGGAACCTTTTTTTTTTTTCTCGTTTTGCAATAAGAAAGGCGGAAACTTTATTGTGAAAATTGGTAATTTTAATGTAATGTTGGTAAAAAAATAATCATATTTTGGTACGGTTAGATGGATGGACAAGGACATGGTAGTCCTGTACTTTAGTATCTTCCTCGTACATGTCTCTCTCTCGTATGTACAATGTATCAGTTCTGTTCCGTGACTTACCAAATTTTAGGGCTTGATCAGGCAAAGAGTAAGCGGGGAGAAAAGCCCAAATGGCATAATCGAAGCCCATTATTATGATTTTAAAAATATGCCCTGGATTTTGGCATACGACCAAGGTCCAGTTTATATAGGTTAGAAATATCAGTCTTAACCCTTTTTTAGAGGTTTATTTTCTATCCCCTTTTATCAATCTTATTAGGGGCATTACCTTTACTTTGCTATTTATACTTCAAAACCTACCCTTGTAACCATGTGACCAATGTGACCGAAATATAGTGTGGTCACATATTGATCTCATTGTTTATAACGTTAAATTTATGATGTTTTAATCAAATGATTAGTAAGATATATAAGGTATATATAAACATAATGAATTAGTATAATCACCATAAATTTAATGTTATAATCGATAAAATCAAAATATGACCACACTATATTTCGGTCACATTGGTCATATGGTCACAAGGGTAGGCCTTGAAGTAGAAACAGCAAATTAAGGGCATTTTTGATATAATGTCTATATTAATATTATCCCTAAGAACCGAAACAACGAGTGGTCTAATTCACTAGTATTAGAGACATATTTTCTCGTAAAATTACTATCAATAAATTAGAATTTATAAAAAATATATATTAATTTTAGAGGAAATAAAAAAACCCTAAACATTTCAAATTTAATAAGTTAATATCTAAACTAAATTTTTTGTCAAAAAAAAATTATCAACTACTACTATAAAAAAAAATTAGGTGTTTCTTTTTACGAAAAAATAGTTTAGGTATTAATTTCTCACATTTGAAAAGTTTAGGGTTTTTATTCCATTTTCCGTTAATTTTATTGTGTGCCCAACAAAATCAAGCTCTCTCTCTCTCTCTCTCTCTCTATATATATATATATATATATATATATATATATATATATATATATATATATATATATATAATCTTAATCACAAAACTAAATGAAAAGAATGGGAACTCAAAACACATGCTCTCCAATTAATCAAGATAAAGTGTAATTAATCAGCTTTCTTTTTTTCAATTATTGGAGACATTTAAACATAACCACGTTTCCATGGACCCTCCTATTATTAAATTGTTTTTGTCTAACATAACCACAAAAAACAATGACAATAATCCACCATGATAAACAACAACAGTACCCTTTTGGTGCAATATATACCAACTTTCACTAAAATAAACTTTTGTAACAATTACACTTACTTTGTTTACACTTGTAAAATAGTATATATATGCATGTTGAAACCTATAACAGTCTTTTTTTAAAAAAAAAATTGTTATATTACAACAATTTTCATATTCATTTAGGGGGGAGGTGTATATACCACCGACGTATATGCATGTGAATAGGCAATTTTCTCGAATTTCAATATATTTTTCGAGATTTTTTATAAATAAATTGACGGTCATATTTGAAACGCAAATGACTCAAATAGACCATAATTAAACATTTAAAAAATCACAAAATCTATTGACTTGATCAATAGTTATAAGATTATATTTACTATATCAGTAATATTTTGTGACAATTTAAATTATATACGATTTTGTTTCAAAACAGTTATTATTATTTTTAAATAAAATCCTTCACTTAATACTAGTGTTATGAATCACTAAAAACTATTTTAAGATGATTCAATAGCGTCGAAAAATGAAACAAGAACACATGAAATGAAACAGTACTTCAATGAAAACCCTCATTTTTTTTAGCAAATAGCAATGATGAAAAAAAAATCGGATACAAGTCGCGCGACAATTGCTATTTGTCCCTATGTTTTGTTATATAATATGTATTTGGCACAACATTTGCACGTGAAAATAATTAATATATATATATATGTATATTAAATCATATAATTTGATTTAACCATTACATGTTAATTATATATTTTCATTTAAATTCTCAGGGATAAGCATATCGATTTTGTGTGTGTGTGAAGTGGTTGTCAACCATGAAGACACCGGAGATAGACTTAGCGACCACATGTTACTAAAGACAAGTGTATCATCCAACCAACCAACCAACCTGTCTCTGTGTCCATTAAATACATATATATACATACACGCACATATATACATGCATGCATATACATACGGTCATGCATGCATACGTGCCTACATAAGAGTATATTTTACGTTAATGGATTTGTGGAGGATTATTTTAGCATGTGGATTATTTAGTTAGTATGAATATGAAAAAAACTACGCATATCGAAGGCCATTTTACCACTCCCGAATTCGGAAGTAACTTGGGGACGAATATATATATATATATATAAAATACATAAACAACTCTCTTCAAGATAAATGTATGAAAATACATGCATACGCATATAAATATATACCTATATATGACATAGTCATATAATCCTGACGGACCTTTGACAAAAAAAAATATAGGCGCCATTAATAAAGCAAATTCGGTGCCTAATTTGTTTAATATATAGAACCAAAACATGTGCATACACACACACATGTGCATATGTATATATATATATATATGAATTAAATAGTGGTTTATTATAGTGATGACAAGCGTGATTCTATACATGACAGACGGACGACGCATGCAACGTCGTATTCAGTCGTATCATTTTCATTTGTCTTAATTAGCCATGTAATTGCTAAAGTCTATCTTCTCCTTCTTCTTTTTTTTTTCTTCATCCGAGTGATAGTTTCTATATAAATAAAATAGATATCTATACTTAGTTGCGGCCAAAATCTGGCGCATATATACAATATTAATTCTGTGTAAGACCAAAATATCATATATATATATATATATATATAGAGAGAGAGAGAGAGAGAGAGAGGGAGATGGAGAGGGTCATCGTCAATAGCTGTAAGGAAGGACCATACACAAAACAGAGAGAGACACGGCACTGGTCCTATACATAAAAACTCACACACACACACATGCACACAAACATATATATGGATGGCAAAACGTATCTGTGGCCTCTCTCTCTCTCTCTCTATATATATATATATATATCTTTTTCTTTGTATCTATCTCCGTCTTCGTGGTTTTCCTCAAGAGCCAAAACATGAAGAAATTTTATCTCTCCTCTCTCTCTCTCTCTATCAGAGTTCTTCTTTAGTTTGTGTTTATATATCTGATATATATGAAGATCTATGTTGGTTTGAGAGGCTGAAGCTGCCAGCATGATCTGGTTCCATATTCGTGTATATATACATATATGGTGTGTGTTGTGTATATTTTCCTTTTAGTTTCATCATTCCATCATATTCTTTTTTATATATTTAAAAATAGACAAACATAAATCGTTGTGTAAAGCCCCAAGTCATGCTACCATCTCCAACCGATATTTATGACATTAACTCAACAGTTGAAACCTGGGTTTAGACCTCATGCCTTAGATTGTTTTTTTTTTTTTGGGTGTATGGGGCACGGAAATATCTATCTATATATATATATATATATATATATATATATATTCTCAGACCGTATATGTACGTGCTTATATACATGCATTGACATAAAATAGCATATGATATGGAAAAATGCTCATGCTTTTTGGTACGTATATCAGAATACATAGGGGAATGTGCATTTGCGTTTCTTTGCATAAACGCATACATAGATAGCTACGTACGTTAAACACATATATTCATGTAAATTTTCTTGTATTTTGCAAAAAAAAAAACGTTTTATATTTTATACGGCTATAGATCAGATGTTTACATGTCTACAAATATATACATATATATATATATATGTATGTATGTAACGTCCCTCGATTATTTTCATTGAAACATTTAGACTTTTATAGGCCGACCAAATAATCTTATTGTGAATACCTTATCTTCGAGATAAAATCGACATTTTATTTTTCATATTATTATCTTAAATCCAATTAATTTGGCATGTCAAAAGACCGTTTAGACAATGTTACGCAGTATATGTAATCACATGAGTGGCCAATGTAACCAAAAAATAAGAATGAAGAATAATATGATATACAGAGCGAAAGAGATATTATTATTATTATTATTATTATTATTATTATTATTATTATTATTATTATTATTATTATTATTATATAATTGTATTTGTCATTGTCACATCGTTAACTACTTCTGTTAAGGAACATTGTCAAAAGGTGGAAACCTTTCGGCCTTGTTTAAGTCGTAACCACCACATGGGAATTTAAATTTACTTTACAATACCCCATTTTTCTTTTAATATTTACTTTAATGCTACTGAACCATTTTTTTTTCTTAATTATATCATATGTCACAGATGAATTCGATGACCGGCTGAAATTGGACCGTAATTGTAGACATCTGATAACCATTTGGTATTTTATTTCTCATATTTCAGAAGTAGCTTGTCCAAATATTATTATTCACCCTTAAAGAACAATAATATTTATGCACAATTACAACGTGACATTTGAGGATCTCATGGTTACACCAGATATTATCTAAAAATACCCATCAAACCGAAATAAACCGAAACCGGCTAAGTTATCCAATTTTGGTTCACCTCTTCCCCGTTGCAGTGAAACACTCATTGCTCCTTTTGGTTCGCCTTTGGTTACAACTTTGGTTTCTTCCATTTGGGTTCTCCCAAATGCAAAGAAACGTTCAGTTCTTCATCTGAACCATTCTTTAACGAGGAAAGATTCTCCGGTTCAAGTTTCTCGTTCGTTTTCGCAGCAACTGTAGATGCATTTGCCGAGTCAGGCATCATAAACTGATGTTCCTCCACATCATGAGTCGGTTTGATCACGTCTTCTATGCGGAACTCGGTGGGGATGAATGGCTCGAAGACCTCATCTGCTCTGTCTTGCGATGGAACCGAGTCGGGTGGGGATGACTCGCTAACCGTTGAACCAAGGGCTGTAGCCGAAGTGTTTCTTTGCCCTCGGGCTGCAGCTGAAAGTACATCAGGCAAAACCCAAAGGCAAGAACTTAGAAAACATTAGAGAATGCGCAGAAAACCCGAGAACAGAAGTCTGGAACAGACAAAACCTTCAAGCCCATCATTGGATGTGATGAGATCGAGCTCCAAGAGATCTAGAAGTCGACCAAGATCAACTCCACTTGTCCAATTCTCGGGTTCTTGCCCAGCTTTTAGCTTCAGTCTTCCCCGGTTGGCTGTCCCACCCCAAATGATCCCGACTGGTCGTGGTTTCCCCCTCTCTTGCCCAGTTAAGAGTATAAGACTTCCACTGTCACCTTCAAGGTCGAAGGTTTGCTGGTTCTCACCAATGACCAGAAAATCCGTGAGAAAACAGATCCCTTTCTCGTCGTTGTATTCCAAAGCGTAAGCCATTATGGTTCCCGTGGTCAATCCCGAGCTTCTCCCGACTTTAACGACTTGCTGTCCTATAAGACTATCGATCGGGGATTGTAAGTCTATGATGTGCACATCTCCTATCTCGCCTGTACCCTTTACTATTGTGGTTACATTGTTCATGTTGAAATCTTCTGCAAAAGGAATGAATGCACCGTCTGCTCTCACAAAAGTTTCTGCATCAGAAAATACACATCAAGGGCATGAAAACCACATTTTGAGACTAATTACCGATCTAGGGTAAGCCAATAAGCCTTGTGCATGACCCGTTAATAGGCATATATATACGGAATGGAGATCTAAAGAGGGGTTGCTAATGGGGGATACCTGGGTTGATTCCAGCGAAAATACCATACCAAAGATCATCCGTAATAAACGAAGTTGCTCTCTCAACAGCGCCAAGATAGACACCGGGGCCAAGGCTTGGAGGTAAAGGATGGAACATTTTCTGGCTTGGATAATCCAAATCAACTGCTACATGCCGGTTAGTGAGGAAACCAACCCGATGGTTACCCGTTCTGCTTTTCACAATAGCCCCCAAGGTTCCATATGTTTCTTGACTAGCAACCTAAAAACACGAGGAAAAACCGAGAATGATTGCTGTAAAGAGATGGGTTAGTACAATTCCCAGAAGGGAGAGGAATCTTTACTTGGGAACCAGAGCCAATGCAAGGGTCACTTCCTCTCAACCCATCCACAAGTTCATTATACACTTGTTCTTTGGGTGTTGCTGCCGGGGCACCGTAATACTCAAACTCCACTACGTCTACATCGCACCATACCCCTCCGGGACCCTGTTCAGAGAGAAAGGAAACCACCATTTTCGTTTACGTTGAAGGAATGCTTACACAAGTTTCTTCAATTTGGAACGGTATATCACCTCAAGGGCAGTGGGAAGACACTGCAATGGATTAAGCCACTGCCTATGGACTTTCCTAGCCACAAAGACAAGGATAGCTGGAATACTCGTCAGAACACCACGTCGTATCCGGAACCCAACTGCTGTACCGAGACTGAAGCGGCGCAAGATTTTACTATGAAACGCCCTGATGGTCATGAGTTCAAGCAAGGTGGTGGCTTGCTGTCCTGATGGCAACCGCCCGACAGTTTCAGGCAAAACCCCTTTCTGAAGATTTCCAAAGTAGTTCGCCCTGTCTGCTGCAGAATCGTTCAGTCTGCTGAGAGTAGGCCATGAGAAGTAAGGGGCATTGCTTTCTGCGTGTTGGGTGTTCGGTGTGAAGGGCTGAAGGGGAGATGGGCTTGATGAAGATGGAAGGCTCGGGTGGTTGCATCGATGATTCCTCTCCAAATCTAGAGCTGAGTCTTCGGATGGCGATGAAGCTGATGGAAGGAATCTCTGATCGCATCTGCTTGACGCCATGGATGGATCCTGCAATCTCCCTATAGTATGCTGCTTAATCTATTTCTATGGATAGAGTAACCGGACTTCTTCAGTTCTGTCAAAACAAAAACAAGGCCACAACACAACAACTATGCTCGAACTTGAACTGATAAAGGCATCTCAAACGCTGAAAGAGAATGGATTGATCAGCAAACCAAACAACATTCGAGAATCAGCTCAAAGACTGAACCCAAATGGTCGTTTATGGATCATAACTTCACCCACAGTAAATTTTGAGTCGTCAAATGATTCGTCAATTCAAAAGGAGAACCTATACTGAAGCAATCTGCAGAATTATCTTATAGCTTTGAGTTTTCAGACAACATACACGAGACAAGCAGAGGAAGCAAGTTAACATTTGAAACCGAATCAACCCTAGGAATCAACAAACTAAACCGAACCCAGATTCCATATCACGCCAAAAACCCTAAATAATCCGAAATCATGAACAACGGGAAATCCAGCGAAGAATCTCGACGATAAGCACTCACCAAAACGGAGAACTCGTCCGATGAACCGTGCCAAAAGCGAAAGCTTTACCGGAGATTGAAGAAATGAAGAGAGGGAAAGCTACATTTAGGGGGAGAGAAAGAATATCGCAGAGAAGACTGGAAGAAGACAAGGGAGAGAGAGAGAGAGAGCGATTGCAATGCTCGCTCCATTATAATCTCTTACTGTTGCTTGCTGGTGGCTGTATACGGTTAACCAAAAAAGATTAATTTATATTATTATTTATTGTTATTTAAATCTCGGCGTATCCGTATCTTTTTCTTTATTTTTTTTTACTTCCATTATTTTTATAGGATTTTTTTATTTGTTATTTTCCTATATATATATATTCTAAAAATAAAATCGATTTAATAAAATAGAGCCAGGTGAGGATAGGCATATAAATAATAAAGGTATTTGTGCATGAATTATTTGATGCATGCAGGGGTATGCACCCATATCTCCCATTATCTTTGTCTCTATTAATCACACCACTCATATCTCTATTTCATATATATATATATATATATATATATATATATTATTATTTCTTCAATAATATTGATTCATTATAACCATTTTCGTGTATATATTTATATCTAAATATTTCCTAAATCACTTGACCAAAAGACACGTGGTTGCATATTATGATTGCTTAGAGTAATAGAGATTCCATTCATTTAGAATGATGCGTTCGTTTCTTAGTTATGAATTATGGTTATGATTTGTTGTGTTTAAGGATTAGCTGATTGCACGTCCGAAGCCGATGGTGGTTGTGATTTTATGAGATGATGGATAAACACGTGTGAACATAATATATACATTTTCATATTCTCTCTTTTAAATATAATAATGGGTCCAAATACATATATATGTATATATAATAATAATATCATAATAAAAAGGTGTTGGATTACATAATTTCCGTCAACATCATTTCTTCTTTCATTTCAATCATCAAATCATTATACATTGACCTTTTGTCCCACCCACAAGAAAAGCTATACACACACACACACAGATATATATATATATATATATAATCTTGCCCTCTCTGTATATGTAATGTCTATATGCATCATGTGTGTATATATATAGCAATAGTACTATTTAGTTGGAATCGTGCAGTAGGCCTTCATGAATGTCATGGCGGACATTGGGCCGAGCTCATATTTTCAAACGGACCTTTATGGGCTGAAAAATGGTTTCAGACTGATGTTCGTGCCTCGATGCATTATTCTAAATGGGCCTTTATGGGCCGAGCCCATATATTTTTCGGCCTTTCAACCTATTGCATCAATCATCTCATTAAAATATTTGACCTAATAATAATAATAATAATAATAATAATAATAATAATAAAAATAAAGGTTACGAGTCGACTTACAAGTTACAACAAAACGCGATGTGATAAGAGCTCAGGGCTCGGAATCGGTGAACACGGGACTGTCGAGCTCAGCCATGCTCGCCGAGGCAAACGACTCGAACGATTCCACCGTCGAGAGCGACGACGTTTCCACCGAACCTGACAAGTCATCTTCGTCGTCCTCGTCGTGGAGAATGATGTGATCTTCTCCGTCGTCTTCTTCCTCGTCGGGTTCCAAAGCCTCTGAGCCCATCAGAAGCCTGTTTATGGCTGATTTGGCTGCCTCTGTGAACCACTCGGCCTTCGGGAGTGAACTGTTTTCAAACGAACGAGACAGAGTAACGAAACGGGTTTCGGTTCGTTGTCTGGATCGAGACGACGAGACTGTTTCGTCTGAAGAAAGGTGTTTTATTTAATTACCTTTGTGGGTCGATGCCTCGGGCGGAGAATATGGTAATGGCTCGGGTGATGACTGCTGATGCATGGTTCTGGACTAGCTTAAACGGGTAACCAGCGAACCGGGCAATTTCAACAGTGAAGTTCATGTCAAGGATCAACTGCAAACACACGACAAGAGTGTTTTCAGGAAACCCGAGCTGGTGTTTTGCTTATTCCCCAACTGATAGAATCAGACAAGATGATGATGATAAACGAGTGTCTTGTTACCTGCTGTAATCCAAATGGTTGAAGCTGAGTTGACTCGTCCTCGAATGCAATCCAGAATTCCTGCTCATTCGATAGCCAAATTATAACAGTCTCCGTTAATCTGGCTAGTAAGATCTTTTGGAGCTTCTCTTTTCCTGGAAGAACATCCCCAGCAACGATCGCTAACTGTTGCAACTTGGAAAACAATGCCTGAAATCATATCACCCCGAAAAATGCCCATCAGATTTTACTATGCCCTCGTGTTATTGCCTGAATTTGTTCATCAGGGCCTATGTCGCAAGAGAAAAAGGTCAAGACTTTCAAAACGGGCAAGAAGAGATTACCTGAAATGGTAACGAGGGCAGATGCAACTCGTCTGGTAACTCGGTTAAATATATCTGTGCGTTTAATCGTGTTCGCCCTTCTCTAGAATAGATGAAGCTCAAGACAAATTGCAAGCAGAAGTAGTTTTTAAGTTTGTCGAATGAATGAAGCATCTGCCGCCTCCACTCTTTCAATTCCGGAGCAGAGCTTGTGTTTAGAATGGCACTCTCACCTTCTCCAGTATTTGCGGTCTGAAGATTCCAGACTTCCGCCAGTGATTTCGGTAAAAGTTCATCGAGTATTGTAAATGCAGACCCGAGAATAGCAAGCTGCTCTGAATCCGTTTCAGCTCTGGCAAAGATGGTGTCTTGCAGCTCGATCAGGCCATCTTCATCCGAATGGCCAGGCAGAGCTTTGACCAGCAAGTCCACGTATTTATCGTACAGCTGCAAAATCCTCATTAGCACACCTTCTCCAGAATGTAAAACAACCAGTGGGCTTAACTGCTCAAGCATGTCCTGAAAATGAATTTGAGTTTCAATGATTTAGAAGAAGTAGATAATCATCCATATCTAGAGAAAATGGTCACAATGTTAGAATCGGCTTTACTTGCACAATCTGCATGAATCTAATCCCGCAATCCGTCAGCTTAGTGTCTGAAGTGATTGCAAATTCGGACAATGCTGTCACAAAATAAGACGATAACTCCAAGTTCTCTTCAGCTTCTGTCAAATCAAAGATAACCCTTCTTGCCCGTCTAAAGTTTGCCTCCAAGACTTCTTCAACATAAGGCCGGAAGAGCACCAAAAACAACTTTGACAAATTCAAGCCTTCTGATTCCAACACTGTGCAGTAGTTAAGGCTGTCTTGAAGGCAGACACTGGCAGCACGCAAAGCAGAAACCGTCTCAGAAGGAGATGCATTTTCTTTGACCAACCGTACAAGGTATTCCACTTCTCGCTCTGCCCATTGAACAACTTTATTGGAGAACGCAGGGTTATCATCACCAAACATCGACGCGGATTCTTTTGCAGCTACCGAGATATTAGAAAAGACAAGCTTAGACAACGTGGCTGGAAATGTGTTCGTGCAGACTGAACATGAGGGGAGAAAACTCTCGATTCTCTTGTGAAGGCGTGAGGCGTAAAACTTTAGAAGTAAGTGATGTGCTGAAGGTCCCTTTCCAAGCCTAATCAAGCCATTTAACACGTGCTTCAGTTCTGTAACACTAACCGAGGGCTGCTTAGCTATTCTGATGAGTTGATCCTCGAGATCTGTCTTTCTCTTCATAAAAGCAGACTTGTAAGAGGGCATCTCTGCTACCACTGAACCTTTAAGATCCGGGTTGTTCCTCTCTTCAGCATCCATGGCCTCCAGTGCTTCATCAACTTTATGTTCGGCCAAAAGAACATCTATCTTCTCCAGGAACTCGGAAGTTCTAGCGGTTCAATTCCCTCTGCAGAGGGTTCGTCCAGCTTGGTCGGTTCTCCGATGTGAGAAACCGAACTAATGTGTTTGATTTGCAGAAAGGCAGCGGAAGGAGATGGACTGAGGAAAGAGATTTGGAACAGTTGAGGGAAGCGAGGGAGAAACCTATCGATGGTTTCGAAGTGATCCGCATCGTGGGAAAGAACCCGTTCTTGTGGCACGATCACTGGGAGGTTAAGGATTACGCTAAGGTGTTTGAATGTATGGAAGTGGTAGACGAAATCCGGAGAGAAGCCGAGAGAGTGGTGGGGAAGATCAGGCAGGCAGGGGAAGAGGCAATGACAAAACTCAAACTCGGACCCGGGTTTGTCCCGAGAAGATCCGATAATCCGTCGTCATTTCCTTACACAGCGGTCCACATGAGGATAGAGATAGATTGCTGAACTTCATCTGCACCGTCAGTAGATCGGTTCCAATCATCCATTTCACGGCACACTCCAGTCATCAGATCCTGAACAAGGAACCCCTGAGCAGAAATATGTTTCCGTAGCTCAACCAACTCATGCTCCATCTCCACAGCTTCTTCAGATATTCTACAGAAACAGAATATAATAATCCCTTTTTCGTTTAGCAGAATCAAGCGTAAAGACTTATTAACAGCAGTGTCATTGTATCACCTCAAGAAAGCCAGATACTTTGTTCGCATATCGCCACACAAATTTTCCACCGCATCCTTCAAATCCAAGAGCTCACAGCACAGCTTTCTAATTCCCTGCATTGTTAACATTCCCAATTCATACCCAAAAAAAAGGAAAACCAAAGACAAATAAGCGATGAAAAATCAATAAAACGCCATAACTGCAACTACAAGCAGTTTCCAGAGATCTATTCATGCATGAATCAGAAGAACAAGTAATCATAAAACACAGGAAAGACCCAGAAACCAATTTCTTCAGAGCCTGAAGTCTTAAACTTTTCAAATTGAGTACTTGGAACCAGATTTCTAAACTAAAATTTACGTTTAAATCGAGGGTGAGTGAGTCCCAATTTCAATCAGAAAACCCTAAAGAACCCAGTTGAGAAAACCATCTCATCCATCGAAAGGCGAATGGAATTGGTCACAGAAAGCTAAAATTTTCAAGTAGCTAATAACTAGCTATAAAGAAGAATGGGTACTGCGACAGAGAAAACCTTTTCGGTGAGCGACTGATGAACGGAATCGATCTTCGACTGAGGAATGATGCTTTCGATCGATGGGAAGTCGTCCTCTTCCTCGCTGCTTTCCATTTCTCTCTCTCTCTCTCCCTCCGTGCTCCTGCAGCTTCTCACAGAAGTGTCGCTTTTGTTGTTGAGGAAGACTAGACTAGAATAGAAAGAAACCAAGCGAGTGACGAAAGGGGACAGGGAGGAGAGATTCCAGAACGCAATGCTTGCTGTTATCCAGTTAAACAAACGTCACGGTTTTTATACTGGAATTTAACAAACGAGACGGCGTTACGATGTCAAAAGAATCTAAGACACGTGGCAGCTGGAATTTAATTTTTCCTCTTTAAATTACAAAAAATAAACAAGAAACAAACCAGTTTAAAAGCCAATCACGGGACAGCACCTTAATTCTTCCAACATATATTTCCGATACTCCGCCGTCGCCGCCGTTTTCTTCTCAGTCGGAACCCAAAACCCTTACTTCTGAATGGAATATCGGGTTCTGTTGTCGGGTCAATTCACCAACCCGACGATTTTGCCGCTCCAGACCCGCCAAACCTCTGTTGCTCCATTCGCGCCTCTCCGCCGTTTTTGCTCCTCCTTCCGGACTCTCGAATGGAAGGTAGACCGATTCTCGAGGCGGGTTGGGTCGCTTCGAACCTTAAACGCCGTCAAAGCGGCGGCCGGTGGCGATGCGGCGGTTGTTTCGGAGGGGAAGAAGGGTTCGGGAATCGGAACCAAAAGGAAGAAGCTTGCGGTGTTTGTGTCGGGCGGTGGCTCGAATTTTAAGTCCATTCATGAGGGATGTGTTGATGGGTCAGTTCATGGTGATGTTGCTGTGTTGGTCACTAACAAGAAAGGTATTGCTCTTCTTCTTGTTCATATAGTGTTTTTTTCCCCTTTTTCGGTGTTCGGTGATGCATTAGGAGTATGCATGATTCTGGATTTACAGGTTGAACTCTAAACATCCAATGCAAGTGTGCTATGTGCCAAGAATGAACTTTTGGCTCATCATACTAAACATCTGATTATAGGACAGAGAATGATTCTGTATGAATCTTGACATGGTCGTTGTCAAAAGTCTGCTTCAAGTTCAAAATCAGTTAGGAAGTGAGGTCTCGAGTTTAAAGTTAGAAAACAGTGATGGTTAATCTCTGAACTCTCAAACTTGTGAGGGATGATGCCTTTAGTTAGAATCAGAACTTGATCAAGAGGTCTCTCTGGAATGAGTCTGGTTGTATTGTAATTGAGGTTTGAGGTTTGCACCTTTTGAGTTAAGGTTTAGAATTTGGATGGAATGGGTTTGGGGTTTCAAGTCAAGGGATCAGAAAAGAGTTGTAACACATCATTGGTTGATTTGGAGAACATTGATGGGTTAGAGCTGTGTAGTTATGATTGAACTCATCAGAACTTTTAGCTAAACATCGATCACCTGTCGAACATCTTTATATGTTTTGTCTTGTTAGTTTTGGAACCGTATTGAACTCATTTGTTCATGAACCAGATTGTGGAGGTGCTGAATATGCAAGAAGTAACAATATCCCTGTTTTTGTGTTCCCCAAACTGCAACAAGAACCCAATGGACTCTCTCCTGCTGAGCTTGTGGATGTTCTGAGGTGGAGCTTCTCCTCTCCGAATTCATTTTTATCGAGTGAATTGTTTAATGCTTTCTGAAGCTCCATGCCATAGCTAATATGGTTGTTTTTTGTCTTATCACTTTATGAATGACAGGAAATATGACATTGACTTTGTCCTTTTAGCGGGATATTTGAAGCTTATTCCAGTGGAATTGATCCGAGCTTTTCCCAAACGTATACTAAATATCCACCCGGCGCTTCTTCCAGCCTTTGGAGGTAAAGGGTTCTATGGTATGAGAGTCCATAAAGCTGTTCTAGCCTCAGGAGCAAGGTAAAGGCTTGTCTTTTTTTTTTCCGTTCTGAATTGGTTAAAGCCCCAAGTCATGCTACCATCTCCAACCGATATTTATGACATTAACTCAACAGTTGAAACCTGGGTTTAGACCTCATGCCTTAGATTGTTTTTTTTTTTTTGGGTGTATGGGGCACGGAAATATCTATCTCAACTTATATAAGTAAATGTTACAGTCTGCGAAGGATATGATCAAGTTTCAGTTGGAGTTTTGTTCCTTTGTTCATGTCCAAGATAAATAAGGATCTTACATTTTGTTTCTCACTTTTGTCTGTCAAGGTATTCTGGTCCAACAATTCACTTTGTGGACGAGGAGTTTGATACAGGACGTATCCTCGCTCAGAGTGCAGTCCACGTCCTTGCTAATGATACTCCAGAGGATTTAGCTATTAGGGTTCTTCATGAGGTACTAAAGATTTGAGACTTTTCAGCATCGGAGATTATAAGATTTCGGCCAATTGATTTAGGTTTTCATATTCAGGAACACAAACTCTATGTAGAGGTGGTAGCAGCAATGTGTGAAGAACGGGTAAAATGGAGAGATGACGGTGTGCCTCTCATCCAAAGCAAAGAAAACCCTGATGAATACTATTAAGGCCAGACCAAAATAATAGATTCGGCTTAGAAATTTTTGTGATGCAGTTCACAGGAAAATAACTGGTGATATATATATCAACAGGAACCGTGGAGATATGGTAGATGCCAGGAGATTGATACTTTGTGTTGTATCACATCTTCCATTTTCATCTGATGCTCTAATGAACTACTCATTCTTTTCCAAAGATGTATTATTATTACCATGAAACTTGATTTGTTCAAGGAATAAGCGTCTCTGTTTCTCAAATCCAGACCAACTAGTTAAGGTACAAAAGACAAGGTTTAACCATTAGAGAAGCTCCTCCCTTTAAGAAGGTGCACCGAGGTAGGAAGCGAGCTGGAGAATATCACTGAATATTCCTCCGGCAGTGACTTGAGCACCAGCACCGGGGCCGCGGACAATCAGAGGCTGGTCCTTGTACCGAGTGGTCGTGAAAGCAATGATGTTGTCAGCTCCTGACAGCTGAGCAAAAGGGTGATCCTTCTTGTACCTTTTCAGCTCAACCTTGCCTGTTTTCTCCATGGCATTGACCACTCCTACATATCTCAGTACCTAACGGACACAATCAGAAACGTAAGCTCTTTGTTACTGATATATACATATACAGAGCACCATGAAACAACTATTTGATGCCTCAAACAGGGTTCTGCTGGATGAAACCTATGAAAAGTTCACTTTGTTTGAACTCATTGAGAAAAGGTAAGTATTTTGCCATCCAATGTCTGAAAACAACTTTCAAAAGATCTTCGAAACGAGCCCACAGATTGATAGGATACATTAGAGTTCCACATCTTTGACCAAAACGAGGTTATCTTAAACAGGAAGAAGACAGATGCTTCTCCTGTCAAAATGTATATGCAGTGAGAGCTTTTATGTACAGTGTAATTAGGTGTTAAAGCTGCTGAGTTACTTACATCCCCTGCAGCTTCAGCCTCTTGTCTTTGTTTGGACAAGTCTTCGTCAAAATCAGGAAGCTTCTGCATGAACTCTTCTGCTGATACACAGGCCTGCAACCCACCACCGAGTAGAAATATCAGATGTCAGAAGGATTACGTTTACGAGTGATGAATTTGATAAATCATCATAGTCTCTTACTTTCAGAGGTTCAGGGACGAGACTCTGGACAGGAAGGCCATCAAGATCCAGCTTCAGGCCTGATTCTCTTCCGAGAATTATCACCTGCAGAGATACCCAGATGGCAGATACCAGGATTGACAAGCTTGTTCATGGAACCATTCATCGAACTGGAAGAAAAACATCATTCATCGAACTTGCGTAATAATGAAAAAGGACCTACTTTTCTGGCAACATCTGTTCCAGATAAATCATCACGTGGATCGGGCTCAGTGAAACCAGCCTGCTTTGCTTCTGCTACAACCTCACTGAACCTTCTATTGCCGACAAAATTGTTAAACAGGTAACTTAAAGTCCCACTGCAGCAATGAATAAAGGCAAACAATTAGTGTAAAAAAACACTGCACAGGTCACGGAATTCATTGATTCTGCAGAAAAGCATTTGAATAAGTTACCTGAAAATACCCTCAATCCGCAATATTTTATCCCCCGTTTCTAGGAGACCTCGCAAAGTGCTGATGATTGGAAGACCAGCTCCAACAGTTGCTTCGTAGAAGTAATGAGTGTATGATTTCCTTTGAAGAGCTCTTATCTTTAAATACTGCATTGCATTTACACAAGATAGCGTGACCAATGGCATACATATTTGAAGAAAAGGAAATATCTTTCTCGAAAATCTCCAAGTCCAGAGCAAAGTTTTCGTCTTCCTTTCTCAGTTTTATGTCTACAGAATCATGAAACACAAGTACAGAAATGCACTTCCTCTCTAACATAGCTTCAACAAAACTCCAACGATTAGAAGTTCTCCTTATCGCAAACAGGATGCCAATATAATATGGTTTACCTGATCGAGTGGTCCTGAATTAGCCTTTTTGTTTGGTGTGATCAAGTGAATTCCTTTCCGCAACCAGTCATAGTAACAGCTGGCAATATCAGCATCCGCTGTACAATCGACCAGAACAGAATTTGGAATGAAATGGTTTCCCTTCACATGATGGGCCAATTTTTCCAGGTTAGCCGGCTCTCCCTCTTCTTTTAGAAGCTCTCTCCATCTCGACAAATCAATCCCCCTTGAAAAACAACGACAAAGCATGTAAGGAAACAGAACATAAGCAATCAGTGTTGTCAATTCATGACTTACTTCTCACTCAGCAGCATTTTGCTTGAGCCGGTGATTCCCAGGACTCGCAAGTCAATGTTAAATTCTTCTTTCAGAACTGCAGCCTGCGGAAAGAAATAAAAAAAAAAAAGGTCACTTTGCTATATAAGAACCGAACCCTTTACCTTTTTCACGACTTCAACATGAATCCACATGTAGTAACAGTAATATATCTCTAATTATGGTTACAAATATGCATCAGATATTATTTACCTGATCCCTGAGTTGGTCAAGTAATGTTCCCCCAATTAAGCCTGGTCCTATGATTCCCATTGCCAAAGTGGTTCTTGAGAGGTAAAACCTAGAATGCACTGCTCTTAATGCCCTAACACAATCTTCACGCTTAATAACTACTGTGATATTGAACTCGGAGCAACCTTGAGCTATAGCGCGGATATTTATATTGGCCTGCATATATAATTATACCAAGACAATTTCGGTAGAGCATCTGACCAGAAAGAGATTCTGAAAATATACACCAAATTTACCTTAGCCAGGGCATTAAAAAGAGTGGCAGAAACTCCGGGTGTGCTAGCCATTTTCTGGCCAACTGCTGCCAGTATGCTACAGTTGGGGATGATTTCAATCTGAGAGGAGAGAGGTGTGCCATTTGAAAAAATTAGTCAAATACATGAATATAACTCATGCTTGCTCGTGCTTGTTACTATGGAAGTTGAGGAAACCGATAGAAATCAAGCTGTGATAAACATTTCACATCATCTCAAAAAGAAAATGCCTGTTGATGACATCTTAAAAGCACATGGAAACAAAGAAGAGCACCTGGGACAAGCGTCCGGCATCTAAAGCTTGACGAAATCTAGAGTGAAGAGCTTTAGAAACGGCTTTCACTTCCTTCTCGGGTACAGCAAAGCACACAGAATGCTCACTACTAGCCTGCAATTATATCATGCTATTAAGAAGCAACATTCGATGATTTTTTTTAAAAAAAAGAAGGAATGTACCAGAAAATTGAATTGAATTTTGAAAGACCTGTGATATCATTATCACATTAGCCCCAACATCTTTCACAGTGGAGAAAATGGTACTGGCGGTACCCGGAACACCAGCCATTCCAGTTCTGCCAGAATGAAGAACAGTTAGCATAAGAACACGAATGAGCATCAGGAATCAACCAATATTAGTGACATCAGCTCACCCCTCAACATTGACAAGAGCCAAATTATCGATTGTTGCAAACCCTTTGACAGGAGCTTCCAGTTTATACCCGTCTTCATCTTCTGCTTGCCGACAGATCATTGTTCCTGGGACAGATGGATTGAATATATTCCTTATGACAATTGGGATATCGTATTTCATCACTGGGATGATGGTCCGAGGATGTAAAACATTTGCTCCAAAATATGACTGCACATGCACATGAGCACGAGGTTTAGGAAAAGAAAAAACATGTAGAAAAACCATAGGTACCAAAAAACAGTCACAAAGAAATCGGAACTACCATTTCCCAAGCCTCCTGATAAGAAAGCGTTTTCAGTATCACAGCCTCGCTAACTGTACAGAAAAATATTCTATGGCATGAGAATAGACAAGAAAATACAGTGGAGGAAACACCTTCCATGGTTTCAAAGACTGGTATTACCTAAAGAATATTCAAGATAAACGAAAATTCTTAGCACAAACCTTTCCTGGGATCAGCACTGTAAACACCATCAACATCAGTCCAGATCGTAACTTGGCCACACCTTAACAGAGCACCCATTATAGCTGCAGAGAAATCACTTCCATCCCTCTTGAGGGTTGTAGGAATGTTCTGAGGCGTACTGGCAATGAAGCCAGTTGCGATAATAATCTTGGATTGATGTCGAGAAAACCATTTTTCAAGCCTCCTATCCGACTCTAAGAAATCAGGATCAACTTGATTAGAGCTTGTAGGATTAACAACAAGCACTTCCCTTGTATCCATCCACTTGCATTCCAATCCACTCTACAAACAAACACACAAACAAATAAGAAGAGTCGTGACAAACAATTCTTTTAGCAGCTTGTAGAGATGTTTCGTACTTTTCTCACAACCGCAGCCAGCATCTGAGCTGACCACAACTCTCCGTGACCAACAACGAAATCCGAAAAGGACTCTGTTGCATGACCAGCTGCAGAAACAAAAGCGTCAGCACAAGGGGGCAGAGAAAAATGCAGAAAAAGATTCGAGATCCTATCGTTGAACAAGAGATATGGACCAAGACCTATGTAAATGGCACGAAGCATAGCCTTGAGATTGTTTATATCATCATGCAACCGAGCCAAGAAACTCTCGAGTTCCTCCCCATCGAGCAGGTCACAGGCTGTAGCTCGGTGCTTCTCAAGAACAGCATCCAGTGCAGACAAGTAAGAGTCATCACGAGACTGCGCTCTGTCAATGAGATCATACATCATGTCGGTAACTTTTGACATTGCTGACACAACCGCCAACTTCCTCTCAGAGTCATCCTTAATCACGACATCAGCAACATTCTTGATTCTCTGAGATGTTCCGACACAAGTACCACCGAACTTGTGAACAGCCCACGAATCTCCCTTCGGAAAGTAGGTATTTTCCACAGAATTATCCACTGATACATCTACTGACAGAACGATGAATTCGTATCACCAACTATGAACAATCATGAATCGTCCAAATAACGAAGTAACCAGTGACGGATTACAGACCTGTGACGGAACCTAGAACATGGGTCTTCGGCAATTCATTTCTTGCGGAATGAGCTCCGTAACTCCGCCACCGATAATTTCTGAAACAGACCCGATTCGATACAGGTCCTGCCCGATAAATGTACGGAACACGAACTTCAAAATCCCCGACAGCCGCGGCCGGAGAGGCGGTAACCTTAGCCAGAGAAGCAATCGGCATGTTCTGCAGAAGATTCTAGTCAAATCAGTATATTAGTGGCTTCATTCATGTCAGGTGGAGGAAGACGCATCATAAATAAGAACAAAATCAAAGCGAGCCCAATGAGTCAAATCCTACAGGCGAAGACACCCACCGGAGAGAAGAGAGGAGAAACCAGCGGTTGCCGGCGGCTGTGGATAAGACAAAGGTGGAGGCAGTGTCAAATTCGTAAATGTCGAAAATGTAAAGGAACCCGAGAGGGTTTTTTTTTGGAACCCCAAGTGAACTGAAAAGCCATAGCGCCGTCGAATTCATAAGAATTAACAGAATGCCACGTGTATGATCATTATTGGCTAATGAAATAACAACGGACGTGGATTAATTTCGAATTTTAATTAACAGTTTCCACCTTAATCACCCCTTACTAATATATCCAACAAACGCAGGCAGATATATATGTATATGTATATGTATATGTGTATGTGCTAAACAAAAATAAATAAGTCTAATACATAATTAACCTTTTAGTAAATAAAAAAACTATAGAGTGATTACCACAAACTATGAAAAACAAAATTGGATGCGACCTCATGAAGGAGTGTTGATTTTATCCCTCTTAATCTATATTTCCATTCGACTTCTCTCCAATATGGTTTTATTTTATTTTATGCATTATATTTTTTTATGGTATGTTATCGTTAGGAGTCTCAGTAATAAAAAATATAAGCTAAATCCTATTTAAGAAATATATAAAAAAAAATTAGAAATATTTAGTTCCCAATGGAATAATTAACATGGTAAATGTGATTACCAAAAAAAAATAACATGGTAAATGTGATGGGTGATATCTCGTTTGAAATTAGGTGTTCAAAGTTCAAACCCCTATTTTGCAATCGTTTTCTATATTACAATGATCTATAATTTATTATAATCTCACATTGACTTATGTCTGATATGTTTTTGGATAAATAATCCAAATTTGGATTTGAAATTTAGAATTTAGTAACTTTGATTCGGATTTAGTTTTTGGTTTTCTTATATAGAGAATATAAACAGATTAAAGAACACGTTGTAAGAAAAAAAAGGTTTTTTTAGAAAATTTTAAACTCAAAATATGATTAGAAAAAGTGATTATTTTAACAAAATCAGAAAATGTGATCATATGTCAAAAACTTGAAATATTTGCATGAACCCCTTTTTTTTTTGTTGGGCACACTTCGGTTTTTACATCAAATTTATTTTCATAAAGCTTTCTCCAAATCTGTCAAAGCGTGATCATCGATTTCATCGCCCACTTCCTGTTCTCAGTTCTTCGTTTCTGGGTTTTGTTTCTCGCGATGATCGGGGCCAATGCCGGAATTGGATTGACAAGTTTACAAAAGGTTCGAATTCTTTTCACCGCGATTTCGATTTCTCCGTCTGCTCTTCCTTTTCAAAATTTCGGATTATACGTTGCAGTTGCATTCTTCCTTTCAAGATTAAAGCTTGAATCTTTGGCATCTGGGTTTTCTTATTCCTCGAACTAGGGTTTCAATCTGACATGCATGGCGGTTTTTGGGAACAGATTAATCTGCCTGAAGCTCTGGATTTTATCATTAAACCTGTTCTTCTTCGGTTCGTGCAGGTCTACAGCATCATTTGACTCGTACGAGGAATGATGAATTCGAATCAGTAATATAATCTCAGATGGATTCTCCGTTGAACTGGAAGGAACTGCGGTTTCCCAGATGCGTTTCCATGTCTGTGTCTTGCAAATGCCTTGTTCTGGTGGGCATTGCCCTGTTCTACAGAGCTCTGTTGCTCACGTATTCTTCTGATAATGGCTCGAACCACTGGTGGAACAATGGCCATTTGATTCGAACCCATTACATGCCGTCGGATTCCGATGTCGGAATCCATGGAAACAAGTTTCTCGAGGTTCCACAGATCGTGTGGGGATTGAACAATCAGAAGATAGCATTTGCCAGAGCTTGTTTGACTGCGAGAATGCTCAACCGAACGCTCCTCATGCCTAGCTTGTCGGCTTCCTTGTTCTACAAGGAAATCGATAAACTGCAACCGATGTCCTTCGATAAGGTGTTTCAGTTCGAGCGGTTCAATTCCCTCTGCAGCGGGTTCGTCCAGCTTGGTCGGTTC